CCTTCCATTCGAACAGTTACATCTTTTTCCCTAGGCTCTGTATCCCAACCCCCACCCGGTATTGTCGTTGTTAATATTGTTGTGGTGTTGGCACCATGCTTGTTCTCAAGCTGGTGTTATATATATATATATATATATATATATATCAAGGCAAAGTTCTAAAATAAATAATCCATTGTCGAATTGAGCAGTTCATTCGTCTCACACTCGATTTGTGCGTACGATTTTAATTGGTGCTAATAAAATCACCCAGGATAGTGAACTTGTCACAATTTCAAAACATGATTACGAGGGGCCGGTCGGATTGCCATAATCTGGTAAATCTACGATCGGAAAGAAGTTCGTCGGATANGGATAACATATAACATCATAGGTTTAGGTTTTCACCTATTGTATTAGTTCACGATGGAATTCGTCGCATGCAGAGTAAAGAGAATGACAACCTAATACCTGGAAAGCGCTGCACAGCTGCCTCGACTTCGTTGGGTCTAATCAGCAGTGTGAGTTCATCGGTTCGGCTGAGTATCAAACCCGAGGCACTGCAGGTAAAACGTGATCACTGAACAGTTGATGAGAACAAACAAGGTCCTACTAATTCCTACATCACTTCCTTGAAATGGTTCATTATTTTCAGCCAAATAAACTGATAACATGAAATCGCGTTATACTCACTACAAAAATGAATCTGTTCCACCGAGACAGATTTCCTCGGCAGAACACAACCGACAAATATACCACTTATTACATCACTTGTCTGTTCGCATACCGCAATACCGCGTTTTGAAAATCGGACAACACCTGTGGTTTAACAGAAAAGTGAACCATGTAGACCTTTTGAGGCTGACTGGTTGAGATCTAAAGAACCTACTTATATCTGGCTGGAGGGATCCCACGAAACAGATAAACGAGGACTGTGCATTTGGCCCTCTGGTTTTTACCATAATCGATCGATTATCTATCCGTTTTTCGCAGTTTAGCAAAAGACCTAGGGTAATGAATGTTAACAAGCACGTAAGTTAGACCGAATGAATTGCACTAGATTCTCACGCTGAACAATTGGTATCTATTCGCTAGGCCTTTTCTGGTTCTTGCGTGTGTACACATTGGGGTTTCATGGACGGGTACTGCTAGGGTGTCCAGCCAATAAGCAGGAGAACAATTAGGGTTCTCATCCAAAGCCTTTAGTTCTGACAGGAACCTAACCGCAGGGTAGAGGATGAAGCGAAGTGGAAGGCCATTTACTTGGATCGATTACTCCTCCACTATTTTTCACCGACTGTAACGCAAATTCCAGTCGAACCCCCAACCTGGAAGACCAGGAAACTGGACTTCGCCTGACCTCTACCCATTGACCTTCCACGCATGATAAGATCTCCTGGTTTGACAAAAGCCGTCTTGTGTAGCTCGTTGGGTCATGGAGATGAACAAGCCATCACAACACGTCAAGCTGTTGTCTCATCGTTATGGTATCTTGAAGCATGAGTGACAATCAAAGTCCGCCAGTCGTACTGTTATGTGCGTGCAATATCTTTAATTTTCAACAAAATGAACAATTTCATGGGCGAGATGATTATGCAACTGATTTGCAGGATAGGGAGGAGACCAACCAAAGGAAGGCCCAAACAGAATTGTGACAGTAGTAGCGATAATTGGATTTCGAGGTGGAATTGATGGTGACCCAACCCGCTTGATCATCACCAATGTGTGCGCGCATGTGCAGTGAGCCATCGGCTCAATCGCCATTCACGCACACTCACAGATAGGTTGCGCGTAACACGGAGCACAGAACTCGCAGTTCTTTAGTGTCTACATGCGAGCGATAGAGATACAGTCACCCAGAAGATTACCTCAATTCAAAGTCCGGTTGAGCATTTGTTCGTCTCGCTATCACATTCCCTTTGTGTTTTGGTTTCACAAGGTGGTGCCTGATCGAGGATAGTTGGTTATTGTGAATAACGGTTAGGGCATTGATGAATTGGCATAACACGACAAAATATCTCACTTGGAACGGGTCTTCGGAATTCCCACACGCATACAGGATGGTTAATGGAACGGTCCACTTGTAATTAACATACTGGACAGCAACAATTCGCTCCAACGGGTCTTGTTCAATTTTGACCGTCGGAAGAAACCATCAATCGCATCTTTTGCGAATGTGAGTAGTATCTCAACACGTGTAAAGCTGGATAGCGATTAAAGTATACAAACGAGTGCCCAGATGATTTAGTCCTGACTGATTCCGACTGATTACGGTGCAGCTGTTAAGTTAGCTTCGAAAATAACACACCTAATTGGAAGTGCACTCATCTAAACATGCATTAATTCCATCGAAACGAAACAGAGTGGACGAAATATAGCCACAGAACAAAATATTTGAGAAGAAACTGCGAAAGACAAAACCGACGGCACGTTTCACCTCCGCAAAGCCAACAGACCTAACTCTATCCCAACGGTCCTGAGTAATATTACTGCGCTTTCTGGTTTGATACGCACTGGAAAGGATATGCGACTATTTCGCATAAACCTCAGGTACACTTAAGAAAACAAGCAATCTGGTCCTCGGCATTCGAAATGACCAAATACGAGCAACTTCAAAACTGGCTCTCTCTCTCTCTCTGAAATGAGTTTCGGGTTCCAGGACGATTTTACGAACCACTGAGACAGCGAAAACAATGAAAGCTGGTCCAAACAGCTTCCTCAGATGGCATAGAAATGTATAAGCCTAGTCAAGAAATTACTTAGGATAACGATACAGAGAAAAACCATGGTCCCCGAATCAGCCACTCACCGGAGTCTACATCAGTTGTGTCGCTGGATGGTAGGATCGTTACCAAAGTGTAGAGCGCAGCCAAGGCAAGATTCATCCGAGGACCCGGAACACCGGGATAGACCGAGTTCAAAAGAAGCGCAGCCAATCGGCAGATAAAAGTCTGTTGGTACAAAACACGAATCAATAAAAGGTATGTTATTTGAGGTAAATGGCATTCCTGGGTTGAAATAGTATGCCTTTTCTAACCAATAGCAACAGCAGAATTACTCTTTCTAACATTTTTGGCTGCCGTTCGAATGAAGTTCGGGGCAAAACACATGCCAGTGATTAACGTCCCATGCAAAATCACGGATATACCCCGAATCCAATGTGGTGTTTCACAATTATGACTTTGTTTCACGAAATTACACATTTATAAACGAGTCTGTTTTCAGTGTTTCATGCAATGACCATTTATATAACGTTTTATAGCTAATCAAACACCCCACAGGAAGAACACAGGTGAAACATGACCAAGGTCAATTCAGTTTAGTTTTTACAGCCAATATCCATGCATTTTCTTTCTTTGCGCCAGTTTAGGTTACTGTTTCATGACTGCCCATTTGGATAAAAGAGCAGAAGAAAGAACGGAATTTTACAAGCAGAGTCCAAGAGAAGATAGAGAATTCACATGGACTACAGTTGCAAGGATACTGAGTAGATGCACAAGCGTCACTGTTAACGACACTAAGCAAACACGAACAAAATGGAACAAGTTAACATATCTATGACAACTCATCTGCATGAATGAGGATTAATGGATAGAATTGAGCCGGATAGACAGTCGACAGCTAGAATAGATCTAACGCTATCGTAAACCGTTTCTAAACACAGAAAAGGGTGTTATCGATGTGGATCAAAATCGTTTCGGTCGCTAAAAGAACTCATAATTGGCCATCAATTTGTCACTAGCTGCGAAAACGAGTTGGCTTTCAGAAACGATAGATCGGAGAATGTGTTTGATCTCCACCTGAGTTTGCCGCATTTGTTCCTATTCCATTCCCACATTTGACCGCCAATTGAAGATACCGACTTCCAGTTGTTCGTTTGCATCTAGGTTCCGCATCCTTGGCCCCCAGAGATAGTAGATTTGTGAAAATCCCTACAGCATACTGTCTTTGGCTCTTTTCTCTCACATCGGGCTCATTGTGTTAAAACTTGAAATACCTGACTTTTAGGTGTTCTTGGTGGAGATCAGCAGAGGATAAGTTCTTGCCGGGCTATGCACTCAATGCAGAATTTTATTTAATTACACTTAAGTATAACTTCTAATAATCTATTCAATGCATTCAATCCTTAACTAAAGACTTCCTAACCTTCTCTGACGCGTGCATTGGCACCAGGTCTCTATGAAACACATGCATTCGTGTACCCGTGTATTTTTCCTCATTTTACTTTACTGCTCACCTGTTATTTTTTCCAATCTCCTAAAGAAAGATTTTAAACTGCTTCGACGTGGACTGACCATAATTAACCGCGTCTCTTTAAACCCGCTGGAGGAGTTGGTAACTAACTTGTGCGAACGTCATTTGAATACGTCAGAAAGGTTTGCTTCTAAGATTCTCATCGACTCCATACACCCGCCATACACAGATTTAACTTCCTGTTGTTCCCATCCCTGAACTAGATCCCAATACCGTTGTGTTCCCTTTCGAATAAACATATATCTTAACTCTGAGGTACCCTTATTAGAACGTATTCTAGTTAACAAGGAACAGCTATTCACAGACTTTGTTAACAGTTTTGGGATTTAAATAATCTTATGCTTATTATTGTTCATTTTTTCTCCCTCTCTGCAACTTGTCACATTTATATCTGAAATGTAGGCTTTATGCCTACAGAAGTTATTACAATAACAATACATAGCACATTAGAGAAACCAAGTGAACGTGAAAATGAAAGGATGGATTTTGAAGAACACTCTTCAAAAACACAGAAAAAACGCTCTTTCTGAAAAATGCCGCACACCAACGCAACCAGTGAATGATCACCCAAAATGGCACAGTGTGTTTCAGTAAAAACAGCGCTGATGCTGGGGACAAGAATCGTGAGTTCGAATAGGCTGATCAAGCCGAATGGACGGAAATTACCAAATTATAATGCAATTTGAATGCAATATCCATGGCCAATAACCACCTGATTCTAAAACATCACATCAAATGAGAACGAAAGGAACTGATGAATCGCTAGAGGAGTGCTACTCGACTCAAAACGGTAAGATAGCAAAGTCGATAAGAGTAATGAGTGAAAAGACAAGATACGATCGGAAATTTACCGCATTGGGAACAATTCATAACGTGGGAAAGTAACTCACCACGATACTAATATGGATGGATGAAGAATCTTCCGAGATGTGTTTTCGACGTACTTCTATTAGACGACGCACGACCTACAGAGAGAATAAATATATTAGAGGGTTTTCGTAAAAACAGTAAGGTTTACTGGCAGGCTCATCTTCCCACAATGAGACATGATGGTCCATTAGTCAAATAAATCATATCTGAATTGATGAGAGCATTGCATCGCTACTCAACGCAATTTTACATCTGCCGCATTGGTCAGCAGCGCAATTAATCTTAGCAACGTAAGGTAAAATGTAGTGATGTTGGCTTGTGGGATCATTTCGAACGTGTATCAAGAGAGAGAGCTCAAGCCCACGGTCAAATTGTGAACCGTGGGGTAGGGGGGAACATTCATGCAGGAACCGATGTGTACATCTTGCGTGGGAACAGACAAAAATTATAATGAATAAAGTATCGAAAACCGGCTCTCGTAGCACAGGTGGACTGCATTGGTTTTCGCCTGTTCGCTGAGCTTGGCGATTTGTTTGTAAACGCTTCATCACCAGGAAACGCGGCATTTTCAGTGGTTGTGAGGTAGGAATTTGGTGAAAACGAAGAAGGAGAGGGGTGTTTCGAGGTTTAGCCCCTCAGAAATAAACCAAGACTGAAAGATAAAAGTCCGACGTCCGAAGACAGAAACTCGATTAGGGTGACTGGTCGTCTGTGATCGAGATGAATGGGTAAGACCAAGGGTAGAGGAACCGCCGAAACATGATCTGATGAACAGAAACCCAAATAGTAACGGAAGGAGAGCGATGGTTACGCAAAAGCCCGGCGAGGGGAAGCGAATATAGATTGAAGGTTGAAGGAGTACCAGTTGCACGGTCTTACGTCGAACCCGGCCAAGAGAAAGAGCAAAATACGAAGCTTCACTTCACATGTAACTGCAGCATTCAAATACCGGGTGGATTCAAGCCTTCTATAAAAGAGGAAGGAGGATGGGAGTAAAGAAGCGTTTGTCACAGAACAAGAACCCAAATTTGCGTGAAGCGCGGGATGCAAATTTGGATATAAATAGAGACCAACCGAAAGAACCATTGGATAAAACCCATAGGACAGAGAATCCATGCAAGGGAAAGCGACTTAGAATTTAAATGAAGAAAACTTAGATAGTTAGATAGTTAATGGAGACTGAAAAGAGAGAAGTTGTGAACGTATTCATTGGTCAGTAGAACTCCATGCAGAGGTGATTCCATTGAACCGTGTGCTTGGAGATTTCGGACAGATCGCAAAAAGATCGAAGGGTGGTTGCAAGCACGGAGTCTTCAGGAACACCAACATTCACAGGGGAAGGCTGAGAAAGAACCCCATCGAATGTGATAGATAGGTTCTCTTGGTCAGGGAACATTGCATCCATGGTACGAGAGCCGGGTACATTCTGGGTAAATGCGACAGCAGACCTTCATGTGAACCTCGGTTGAAGGCCTTCGAATTATCGAGCGAGTCCAAATAAGTTTCGAAGTGGCTACCGAGTGCGGATGGCCATGAATGAAAGACGACAGTCAGTAGGTCACTGTCGAAATGAATAGGGTAGAATCCATATTGACGGGCACCCAGGAACATTTTGCGTTCGACAAACGCACGCAAACGGACGGGGATAACGGTTTAAACACGTTTCGAAATTACTGAGGTCGGGATGATATCGCGACAGTTATTGCGATCGGAAAGGTTACCAACATGTGGATTAGGAAAACTTATAGGATTTTTCTTGTGAGTGAGAAATTCTTCACGATTGAGAGAATAACGGGAAAGGTTATTTTCTGGACACATTTTTCAGACAATGAGGGAAAAACGGTCCGGACCGGGTGGTTCTGAAATATCTAAATCGCGAATGGTTTGACGGATCTTCCTTTCTGGTTGTCATACGAAGTTGTCTTTAGAGGAGTTTTGCAACCTTTCAAAGCGTTATTTCAGACGGGTAAGGAAGTGCATGGATAAACTGAGAAAAAGGGTTAGTCGACAGTGGAGTTAAATGCAAATAGGGAAGCGAAAACCTCTGCTTTGTAATGGGGCTTACAAACCAAAGAACTGGAGGAATCACATGGTCAACTGCTAAATTCTATGCGATATTCTCAACAATGAGGCTGTTATTGCGAATAAGGTGCGGTGAGGTAGACGATTGTTTAGCATATTCAACAATTGTCCTAATCAATCACTAAAATGTGTCGTGACGGCTTATTTGGGAAACCACTTTGGGTATGCTTCAATGAACCAAGTGAAACTAGATTAAATAGAGGTAGGGTAATATTGGTGGTACTGATAGGGGCTTGGAATGAACTGCTGGATTAGTCGTTGGCCATTCATCTATCCGAAGTGTGAGAATAGCGAAAACTAAATAAGGAGATATAATTTCAGGATATCCGCACAGAATGGGAATCAAATGGGGGCTCACGATAAGTCCGATTCTGATAAAGGAAAACTGTCATCGTCGGTTAATGTTGTAACTTAACTGGAATACTCGATAAAGATGAAAAATTGATCGAAATAGCAGCGGCCTGGTCGGAATACGGTCTTTTGTTCATTGATGCTTGACTACCTCGAACAGGTTGGGTGATGGAGTATGACGGAGAACCACACCGAGTTGATGATCGCTTAGGTCAAACCGTTGCTTGAGTCACCCTCAAATCCGAGGGCGGTAAATGGTTTGCTCCTGGATCGTGTGACCTACACCCTAGGTCGTGCAGCCTATTGGTGACGGATCTGTTCCGAAGAAAGTCAACGTACAGAAAACAGGTTCGAATAATACCGAGAATAATAAGACAAGGAAATCGATAAGTTCCTAACCTGCTCCGCGTTGAGTGACTTACCATCGAAATGGCAGTGACAATTTGGCTCCGCGATGACCGCTCAAACGTCCACATGTTATGTCGGAGAAATGTGAAAAATAGCTCAGCGTATGACAGGAGTACATCTGGGTCGGAACAGCCTTTCATCAAAGCCAAAAGCAATTCCAAGGCGTTGTTACGAAGCTGTGAGGAAGACCAAACAGAAAGAAAGTTGGTTAGGTGAATTAACAGTAAATATGCTCAAAATGTTAGTGGAATTTTGTAAACGAACAAACGCCCAAAACCTTACGCGAAAAGTGGTAAAATATCAAATCCCATTTGTGGGCGCAAAAGTTTATAGATGGATCGTGATCATCCTCAAACTCATTATTATCATCACCGTGCAATGAAATCCGGATGTCTTCTACACACAAACATAAGGTCTCGCAACCGTAAGGTGGAACTGATCGTATAGTGCAGCGGTGTATTCAACCTTCCAACTTAAATGGAACGTCAAATCGCCGAAGGTGTTCCATTTTTGCGTTTGACGCTTGAGCCTTGGGTATGCATGCGATCACCTTTGTTATGCTACCACCCTCCGCTACACCACTTACTAGCTAGGGAGAGGCTATCTACTATTCACAAATAAATATGAGCTCAATGTAAATTGAAGTCAAGCCTAGAAAGTTCCATGGTGGCGAGATTTTCCGAAAGGTAGTTCTCATTTTGGTAGGAAGCTCTTAAATGGAGGGAGTAAATGGTCAACCGTTTCTCCTTTCGTTGCTATCGAGCCCATTGAAATCACTATCACTGAGTAAAACATCTTAACAAACTTTAATCGGTAATTTTAGTTACCCTGGGGTGAGCAGATTCATGCATTACATACACCTAGCATGCTCGTAGTACGGTGTTCGAATCACGAACTAGCCGTCAGATGTGGGCTGCTGAGAAGAGCGAAACTTGAGTCTGAGTAAATGCTTGACTGCATGGACTGAGGATTGTGTGTGAAGATGAATTCTGAAAGATGGTCAGTCCAAATTACTATCACCTATTCCACACCATTACCCACAAATAAATGCGAGTTGAATGTCTACCTTCTGCGATCGAATCCTGGCTATCTAGTTTCAAAGCAGAGGTAGTTAGCACCTATCCCTGAAGGATCACTTGGCATTTCGAAAAGAGTAACTTGCCAGTCTGTCAAATGTGCATGGAGCATCCGTCCTACACTAATACAAATAAAAGATGTCATCAATGTGGTCGAAAAAGTAAAGATAATCTCCGGTTTCCCACTCAATATCAAAATTTTGTAGACCACTTAGGGCGTCGTCCGATATATCGTCCAAGACGAAAGCGAACAGGAATGGCGAAATAGGGTACCGCACGAAGACGTTTATCTTAACGAGTCCGTGAACACCACCCGGCCTGGTTGAATAGCGGAGTATTGAAGACTATCAACAGCTCGACCGTTTCACACCTAGTGGAATCAAACCACGTGATTAACGTGGCCCAGGCGATTCGACCTTTCTGCTTAGTTCGTAGCCATCAATCTAAGAGAATTGGGAGTCGTATTCTGGCCACAGCGGAAGCGATCGGAACCCGCCTATATAATCCCCCCTGTGTTCGCAAAAGCAATTCGTAAGAACAATCGGCATTCCATGGTCAAAACCATACACAACACAGCCACCCCTAATGACCCGAACCAGTGCGCATGTGTAAAAAGCAAAGTTTGAGCAACATCCGATCATGACACTGGAATGTTGATTATTTCTTTTCCAACTCGTTATGATCCTCCCCCCTACTATACAGTTTGTGATAAATTGTGATACATTAGCCTGTAGAAGAATCACCGAAAACGAGATTGTTCGCTACTGTGTGTTTTCTTACAATGTATAATGATGGTATGTCCGGACAATTAAAATAAGGTACCCCTAAAGAACACAGCTACTGGTTGTGAACGCTCTACTTAGCTCAGTGTATTCTACCTGAGGGGTATGAATACAAAGACCTTAACAGGTTAACATACTTCTGGAATATTTGTTTGAGAAGAAGCTAACCGGATAGAATTTCACCAGCACCTGAATCAGAAACTCCCTTTAGAGCAGGAAACTGCGATCGTGGATAGACGACTTGTGAGGAGTAACCAAAGCAACTTGACGCAATGTTAAGTCGATACTACATCCACCTGGTCGAAATCCGGCATGTTGTCCACGGATGTTTGTCTGTCAAAGGTGTTAAACAGAAAAGTATTACGGAAGCTAACACTTCGGTGAGTATCGTAAGTAAACCTGTAGCTTGAAGCTCGTGTCAATGGTCAGCATCAAGTTTCAAAGTCTCAGATAAGGACCCCGCCACCACCACACAATTTTGGAAATGGGCAGCTCCATTACCACACAACTTAATACAGCACTTATTCTAAGGTATTCTTGTGTAAATTTGAGATGCTAGGATTACCGGTTGGCATCAGTAGAACAGTGCTTTTTTATTACGATGACTTCCTCTGAACCACAGTGAATTATGTCTCAACAATAGGTAAAATATGACACAGATAGCGCGCTAAAAGCGATTTAACAGATGCAAGAAAGTAACTAGCCGTAGACCCGCGAATGAAAATTTTCAAAAGCAGGATGACTCATAAGGGTAGGGGAGTGCAATCAGTCACGAAATCTAAAACATCAATACTCACTACAAAATCTTTTTTGTAGATACTGCTGTCGTCAACCAAAAGAAAAAATCAGAGTTCTGGGTTTACTGAAACTTGTGATCCCAAAGTGAGCATTGGTGCTTCCATTAGGCCAATAAAATCTATTCACAAACAAGGGTTAAAACATTTTTGTCACCATAGTTCAGTTAGAAAAGGAACCGGAAAATCTCACTTGAGCATCAGATACTGTCAACGCAGTGAACATAACACTCCTTCGTGGGGCCATCATTTCCGCTTGCCTCCTGAACTTTGCAGGAGTCTCGGGTCGTAGTAAAAATCGATAACAAGCCATCATCAATGATAGTGCCATCGAGTGGCCATCTGGAATTGTTAGAATAAACAGTGTCGTTTGATTTTTTTTTCCAATCATAACAAAAGCAAAATTGAAAACAACATGAATTCAAGCCGACTTGATTGTAACAGGTATTCATAAGTGAATCATAATGCTTTGCAATTTTCATGTGCTATGTTTTCTCGATGGTAACCACTATATACTAGACTGCTCTTGACTTCATCCAGACGTTATGAGATCAATATATGGCACCAACAACAGAGAAGTCACTACAAATCGATTTTTGATGATAACAACGCACTGCGTACGTTGGAAATCTTTCAGCTACAGCGACTTTGGATCAAGAATACATTTGCGGAAAATACGAAGTTCTTCAAAAAAGGAAGAATGTTTTTCATGTTAACCTGAATAATCAAAGACCAAGTTGATTCCCAAAAACGGGAGGTCCAGCAGACGGCAGAAGCCTGTATAATCAACAGAAACGTGATTTCAAACGGAGGCTGAGTGAGGCTGGAGACACGCTTAAGTTGTACCGATATTTCAAATGATAAAACATCCTCCACAAAAATTTCCAATCATCAGGTAACTCTTAAGAATCCTGGATGAACACATTCGTCATAGTCCAGGCACCATCAGACCATTGGTCCGTCGTATGACAGAAGCATTCTAAACAGCATATCAGGTCAAGAGGTAATTGCATACTAACGATATACGTCTATTTTCTACTTTTAACTATATCGTTGTCGCAGCAAGTGGCTTTTCAGACAATGGCAACCATGATTTCCTGATCGCCAGTGTTCGCATCACTCACCTTGAACAAATGTTCTACTTATGAGTAGTTTAGTAACTATTTTAACGTTAAATAGGGGACCATGGGATACTTTGTTTCACCCGAGCAGGAAGTTTTTTACTAACGCTATATGGAAAATATAACATGCATGCTATCAACATCAGAGTGCGAAAGTAAAAACAGGTGAACTAGTGACACCGGAGCATCTCAAACGACTCAGAGACCTGCAGAAAAACAGAGAAGTCATGATATCCAAACCCGATAAAGGGGTGGGGATGGTGCTTCTGAACCGAACGGATTATGTACAAAAGATGGAAGCCATATTGAGTGACAGGTCGAAATTCACCAAAACAACGGATACGGATAAGATCACTCAAATAGAGGTTGCGTTATCTAAGATATTGAGATGTTTAAAGCAAAATAGAGTCATCGATGCGACCACTTTCGAACGGATCCGGCCAAATGGGACAACTATTCCTAGACTGTACGGGTTGCCGAAGGTGCACAAGGAAAGGGTACTCTTGCGACCGATTCCAGATATGTGCAATTCACCGTACTACGCACTTGCAAAATGGTTGGCTAAATTACTAGAGCCCGTAAGAATTGGATTAGCGAAACACAGCGTACGAGACATTCACTTTGTGAATAGCATTCGTGAATTAAACTTGACGGGTCGGACAATGCTTTCACTTGACGTTAGCTCGCTCTTCACCAATGTTCCGATCAGCGAAACCACCGAATACTGTGTAGGTATATACAAAGTAACAATGTCGAGATTGGCCTTCCTTTGGAAGACCGGAAACAACTGCTTTATTTTTGCACATACAACGTGCAATTCAAGTTCAACGAGTTCAACGACAAAAGGATGGTGTGGCTATAGGATCGCCTCTATGACCGTTGTTTGCCGATGTGTTCATGGCGAAACTCGAAAATAACCAACTAAAATCTT